CCTTTTTTTATGTAGTAAGATCATGATTGAGTTGTTCCAGTATTCCGGAATATTATGAGTCTGCAGACGCAGATTGAACAGATTTTGAATTTTTTTAATTAGTGTTGGCCCTCCTAATTTTATAGCTTCTGCGATTACACCATTTTCCCCCGGAGATTTATGGGCTTGTCTTTTATGAAGCATTTTGAATATCATCTATGGAAACATCCAGAATATTTTCCGATCCTTGGTTTTGTACTTTTCTTTGTAGGTAGTCCGTTTGATGGATTCTCCAGTTTTGTCCCTAAGTTTGAAGATTTCCTTTTTGCCACTTGTGAATTTCCTTTTCATCACTCTCGTACTCTTATTTTCTTCAATGGATTTGGTCTTTCTTAAAGTGCCTTGGATCTTTCCTGATGTTTTTGGAGATATTAACTGTGTTATTAGTTTAAAAATCAGTGTCCTATTCACTTTTTAGTGATCTTCTTTGTTCCATTTTGCGTCTTGTTTCTTGTTTCTAGACTCTTTTGGCTTTGTGACACAAAATTTCCCTTGGGCTTCTTTTATTTTATCGACTATTGTAACGTTTAGAGTGTTAATGTCGTTTGTTGTTGATTTGCTATTTAGTGATTCACTTTTTCATAGGATATCCTATGGTTTCACAGTGTTACATTTACGACTATTTCAAAAGGCTTCAAACAAATTTCAATAAACAGAGTAATTTTCCTTTCAGATCATTATTGCACATTTTCTCTTAGCAAAAAACTCCATTTATGCGATATAAAGGCAGAAATCTAATAAATTTCAATAAAACATTGAAGCACAATACTGAGAAAAAAGGTTTCTCATGTAGCCCATTTCCACCTTCTGCGCTCTCGAGCTTTTAATAAAATGTATGCTATCACATCCGTATCGACCAAAGAAAAAAAAGGATGGCAAGTGCTAAATTTTACGCAAATAACTCGTGCAACGGTAAACGATGGAATTCCACTCATCATAAGTATGACGGCATCGATTTATTTTGATGTATTAACAGTTTCATTAATTGCATGCAAAGGAACTATCCAAATAGGAATAATTATTAAATCCATAAGGCGTTTGGGATAGTTGTATAAAATTTTATAGTATCTATAGCGATACAAATTTCCAAGTTAACTTAAGTAGAACTTATTCCAGAATCACATAGTCAATGAGTTTTGATGATTAGTAGGTGACTGTGTCGGGAATTTTAATGAGAATAAAATATCTAATACACTCACCGACAGAAAATTCGGGACAACCAAAATTTAGGACAAATTTGATGTAGGATAACTTTTTCTTCCATAGTCCGATTTCAATCTTTTTTTTTTTCATAATGTAGATAATTGTTTCAGTTTTAATTAATTTTATTCAATTTTCAAAAATACAGTTTACATGTTGGAATATACCAGGAAAATAAAAAAGTATATTTTTTCTCTTAACTTTGTAACACTCTGTAGAGTAATTTTGCGAAGTAAGCTACACTGGATATGCTTTTTTGCAGAGTTTGATCCATTTTCAACATTTTGCTGTTTCATTGGTCTTGATATCTTGATCGGTTTCGGAGATATGAATTTTTGAAATAAACATTACACTTTTTGATCAAGTCTAAATTTTTGAAATAAACCTTACACTTTTCGATCAAGTCTATTTTTAATTGAAGCATGAAAGTAGGGGTTTTAAAAATCAGTACCTCGTGTTACCTCCTCTTGCTCTTATAACAGCTACTAAACGTCGATTAATTCCTCTAATCAGCTTTTGGATATCCTGTTGTGGAATAGCAGCCCATTCTTCTTCCAAAGCATTTCGAAACTGTTGAAGGTGAACATTTGTCCTCGGCGTATCCTAATTCGTCTACCTAACATGTCCCATACATGTTCTATGGGATTAATGTCAGGACTACGACTACTACGAGCGGACCAGCGCATAACGTTTATTCCAACCTCTTCTAAATATTGGGCTACTATTCTGGCAGTATGTGGACGGGCATTGTCATGCATGAAAACGAATTCGTTACCGATAAATTGTGCAAAAACAACAACATGTTCTCCCAGAATTTCGTCAATGTACCTCGGGCCAGTTAAAGTTCCTCGGTCAATAAAAACAAGTTCTGTTCGAGCGTCAAACGAAACACCGCCCCATATCACCTTCAAGAGTGGAGGCAAGTTCTATTTTCAGACGAGTCTCGATTTTGCCTGAGGTCTCCTGATGGCCGAGAAAGAGTATAGAGGCGACAAGAGGAGAGATTTGCCCAAGGTACTTTTAGCGAAAGGGTTAGCTTTGGTGGTAGATCGATAATGGTATGGGGCGGTATTTCGTTCGAACGGCACTTGTTTTTATTGACCGAGGAACTTTAACTGACCCGAGGTACATTGACGAAATTCTGGGAGAACATGTTTTTTTTTGCACAATTTATCGACAACGAATTCGTTTTCATGCATGACAATGCCCGTCCACATACTGCCAGAATAGTGGCCCAATATTTAGAAGAGGTTGGAATAAACGTTATGCGCTGGTCCGCTCGTAGTCCTGACATTAATCCCATAGAACATGTATGTGGCATGTTAGGTAGACGAATTAGGAAACGCCGAGGACAGTTGTTCACCTTCAACAGTTTCGAAATGCTTTGGAAAAAGAATGGGCTGCTATTCCACAACAGGATATCCAAAACCTGATTAGAGGAATGAATCGACGTTTAGTAGCTGTTATAAGAGCAAGAGGAGGTAACACAAGGTACTAATTTTTAAAACCCCTACTTTCATGCTTCAATTAAAAATAGACTTGATCGAAAAGTGTAAGGTTTATTTCAAAAATTTAGAGTTGATCAAAAAGTGTAATGTTTATTTCAAAAATTCATATTTCCGAAACCGATAAAGATATCAAGACCAATAAAACAGCAAAATGTTGAAAATGGATCAAACTCTGCAGAAAAGCATATCCAGTGTAGCTTACTTCGCAAAATTACTCTACAGAGTGTTACAAAGTTAAGAGAAAAAATATACTTTTTTATTTTCCTGGTATATTCCAACATGTAAACTGTATTTTTGAAAATTGAATAAAATTAATTAAAACCGAAACAATTATCTACATTATGAAAAAAAAAAAAGATTGAAATCGAACTATGGAAGAAAAAGTTATCCTACATCAAATTTGATCTAAATTTTGGTTGTCCCGAATTTTATGTCGGTGAGTGTAGTTATTTGCATGCCACAGGTGTAAAAGGGCCCATTTGATAGTTTTGATACTATTCGGCCCTTAGGGGGAAATGCTGTCCTTTCGGGTATTTAAAGACCTTGGGTCACGGATGCGCCTCGTGCAGTAATGCGCAATTTCCACGCGGCGGGCCGCAAACACCTTAATTACGCCCTTGGTACATAATAGTTATTTATGTATCAAGGGTACTAAGTAGATGATTATGCCCTGAGGGCGACAGTCTTACAAAGCCGAGGGCCTCTGGCCCGAGGGTTCGTAAGTCGCCCGAGGGTATATTATCTATTAGTACCCGTGGTGCATACAAACTTTTATGTCATACCAGTTGGTTGTGAATAATAAATACCTAGGAAAAAGTGTCACTTCGCAAATTGTCATCAGTGTGCAAACATCATAATTTTTTGACAAAAATAATATGTTTATAAGCGTAAATTTATATTTTGTTAATAAAGAATAAGTTAATTGAAAACTGTTTTTTGCGTCTTTATGCCCGCGCGGGCCATAATGTGTACTTTATGCCCGCGCGGGCCATAATGTGTACTTTATGCCCGCACGGGCACAAAGTAATGAATTATGTAGATGGTATCCAAGGTATAAAAACACAATAATGTATTGGTATGACATAAATAAATAACTATTCCTGGAATTATTGAGCAACGTAGTTGTATAGGATGTACCACATTCACCGAAATTTTCTCTAGAATCTAAGGAAAAATTTACCTTGGTCTGTGTTCTACAAAAAAGACCAATAGCAATTATGGCTAAGTTAGGGGCTGATGGCACATTCAAGATTTTGTGTGCCACCTATGCTTTGGACATATTACAATTACTACGAATTGAATTTTAGTATCAATTGAATTGTATCAAAATGAATGTCAAAACCAAGTGGGTACTTTGGAAACTATTGATTTTATTTGATAAAAAAAAAACTGAGTTAGAAGCAGTGCTTAGGTATCATGCAGTAATGTTAGATGTAAGTAAATCCGCGGATCATGAAATGTATGTAGGTAGTAGGTACCTACTATTGATTTCACAATTTAAACAATTTTCACAATCTTGGCAATAATTTTTTTGTCAGTACAACAAGCTGTGTTATCTGTATCTACACGTATTACGGCGGGACAAAATTTCTCCAATCTCTTAAACAATTCTTATTAGTCGTGAAGAAATCGGTTCAGCAACACAAAGGTCATCAATTGAATAAAAAGTGAAGTAAGTAGGTACCGGAAAACAGCAGTAGGTACTGAATGCAATGATCTGAATTTTTTTCGAGAACACTGTTGATACACTATACTGTTGAGATATACCACAGCGACAAAAGTTACTTAAAATTCCCGCCATATTGGCATAGAAGATTCTTTTCATCAGAATTTTCAAAAAAGTCTTAAGATAATACTTACCTATATACCTGAAATAAGTAAATTTGTTCAACTCTACATTTATTTAATGTTGTTTTAAAGCCGAAACTAACTCTAGTTAAGACTTTCCCTAATTCTGAATTACATCAGTTACATTAATTCTGTTGAAACCGAATCACCTGCTCAGAATATCAATTGAAACGGATAATTAATTTATTTATTTATTATTTTGACCCGCAACCTGATGTTAACGGCGCGAAAGAACTTGATGGTAAATCCATTCGGTTGACTGCTAACAACGACCCACACGACTTTACATTGGTAACCTACATTCTTCTGGCCTTGAAAGCCATGGTTTTTTAGAGGTCAATGGCAGTACCATACCGACTATAAATACGAATAATTATGTAAATTTAATTGGAAAATTGTTTTTAGATACTGTATTCGACGATTAATGCGGTGGAGGACGGGAACGAGCCACCACCGGAAGGGTACTATGCGTTTGTGGAAGCACCAAATGCGGAACCTCCACGAGTACGACCTCCGCCATATACTTTTACACCTGTGGACTGTAAAGAGGATTTAAATAGAACGCCGCACGGATCGATGTTTAACATTTGCGGTGATTTGAATAAGGGTACGATTCCTAGAAATCCAATGGGACAGAACGTACTTGGTACACCATATCCTTTGTGAGCAATTGACTTTGAAAACGTAATAGTTTAAACAATAGTTTTTTGTTTCAGTGAACTTATAAGAAATATGACACTAAAATATCTCAGTCGAACGTTGCCGATATTAAAAGCAGATGAGACCTTGCCGAAAGTAGCTCAGCTTCAAGAGGATATAATCTCACAAAACGCGTAAGTTTACCGTTCAGCGTATAATTTTCATAATTCAAATTCCATCTCCGAATTTATACAACAAACCAATTTTAATTGAAAAGAAAAATTTCGGATGACCTTGACATTTGGAAGTGTTTTTAAAACGAACTGTAAATGAGATAAAATATTCAAGCATTTTTGAAAATAAAGAAATTTTCACTTGAAGTGCGATGAACTTATAAGTAGGTACATAAACAGATTGAATCCTTTTTTGTTTTAATTAATAATCCTAGAGACGTCATTTGAACCAGAAATAAAATACTTTTTTTGAATAATATATTTCTTAACAAGTGCGAAAAGTGACATTTTTTCGGAAAATAGTGGTTTTCTTCCTGCGGATAGTTTGATGCACGACTCGTAGCGGAGGGCATTATTATCCAAGGAAGGAAAAGCATTTTTCTCCGGAGGTATGCATAGTACGAAGGCATAGAGGAGCAAAAAAAATTCCCAAGTTTCGATCAAAATTGACTTTGATTTTTGGCATTTTTAAGCTTCGAACCTACAATTATTGTAACTTTGAATCTACAATTGTAACTTTGAATCTACAATTGTAACTTTGAATCTACAATTGTAACTTTGAATCTACAATTGTAACTTTGAATCTACAATTGTAACTTTGAATCTACAATTTTAACTTCGAACCTACAATTTTAACTTTGTACCTACAATTGTAACTTCGAACCTACACTCGTAATTTCGGACCTCCACTTGTAATTTCGAAGTTTCGAACCTACAATAATTGAGGCTTCGGAGGCTTTCCATATAAGAGTTTGGAAATAATGTCAATGTGAATATTATGTGAATGGTCGGCTGAAAAGGGAATGGTGGAATAAGGATCTCTGTTGAGCTGTCTTTGCACGTGGAGGCACTACTGCACCTACGGTAGTTTATCAGTGTAGTGATACGTGTGTGACCTAATGATCTGTAGGTATCCTACATCCCTTTGAGGATAACACTTTTCTTTCTTTCATCAATACCTATTTAATTAACAATTAAGTATTTGTTATTTAAATAGAAAAGCCAAGTTCTATCGTGTTCTTTTTTTAAAATTTTTATTCTGTTTTTGAATTATAATTAAAAGTTTATTTTTATAATTTTGAATAATAATGCTTTGGAGCTCTTATTGATGTACAGGGTGCTGCAATTTGGAGTGTTTTAACAGGAAAAACACACTTCCAGACCAGATAGACGAAAATTGACTTAGATGTCATGGGATCGATTTTCGAGAAACGTCGATTGTCAAAAACCGTATCGCGATATCTTCAATGGTACCATTAATACAGGGCGATTTTCGATTTTCCCCTATTATGAAAAATGGCTATAAGTTTTTTATTTATCAATATTTTTCATTTCTGTAAAAACAATATGTAGACACTTTTTTGAGCACAATCCAGTGGCGGACTCGGTTTTTTTCTATATCGCTCCGATTTCGAGATCTCGACCAAATTCCGATATTTTCAAATGAAACATCCTTTATTTTAATAGCTCATTGGATAGCTCTGTTTTTGCTGATTTCAATGATATAAAGTTCGATAGGTTTATCTCTAACAGTTTTCCAGAAAAAAATTATATCTGTTTCAGTCATAAGAAACAATGTGTTAGAAAGAGACCTTTCTCACTTTCCTTACACATATAAAATCCTTTTCTAACACATTGGTCCTTACGACAAAAACAAATATAATTTTTTTTTCTCGAAAACTATTAGAGATAAACCTATCGAACTTTATATCATTAAAATCAGCAAAAACAGAGCTATCCAATGAGCTATTAAAATAAAGGATGTTTCATTTGAAAATATCGGAATTTGGTCGAGATCTCGAAATCGGAGCGATATAGAAAAAAACCGAGTCCGCCACTGGATTGTGCTCAAAAAAGTGTCTCCATAATGTTTTTACAGAAATGAAAAAAATTGATAAATAAAAAACTTATAGCCATTTTTCATAATAGGGGAAAATCGAAAATCGCCCTGTATTAATGGTACCATTGAAGATATCGCGATACGGTTTTTGACAATCGACGTTTCTCGAAAATCGATCCCATGACATCTAAGTCAATTTTCCTCTATCTGGTCTGGAAGTACGTTTTTCCTGTTGAAACACTTCAAATTGCAGCACCCTGTACAGAGTGATCCATTATAAATGTCACCCCAGCCTAATTTATTCACTTGACGTTTTTGACAGAAGTGTCAAATACAAAAGTTTTAAGAAATTGTCAAAAGTTTTTGACTAAGTCAGTTTTAAGCATACAGGGTGTATCAAAAAAGTGTAGCAGACCGAAGGTATGTTTTTTTAAATGGAACACCATGTATATTGTGCGCTTATTTATTAGTCCCCTTCAACCTGATTTCAACGATATACCTACTTTGATATGTTTATCTCTCGGTTTATCTTCAATAGTTATAGGGAAAAATGCGGAAATCGCTTCTTAGGTTTCATGTAATTTTTTTTTAATAATAATAACTTGAGACATCTGGATTTATTATAATATTTTTCCTTGTAATAGTTATTTTCATTACAAGTGCGTTTATGAACATGATTACAATAACGAGTGTGAAAGATTAGAACGACGAGGTCGTAGACCGAGTCGTTCTAATCACACGAGTTTAAACGCTCGTATGATGTACAACGTTTTAACTACAAAGCGAAAAATAACAAAATGTTTTTTTCAATTTTTGTTTATTAGTATAGTAGTCTACCTCCATTTTACCTTTACAGGTTTGACTATGACATTTGTGAAATCACAAAAACTAGAGTTGTGTTATAGATTCATAACCTCCATAACACCACTAGTTGTTATGAATTCATAACCTAGTCTATAACACCACTTTTGTGTTATGAGTCTCACGACATAACTCAAATACTAGAAAAATGGTTATGTAAAAACGGCATAACCAAACGCTTGTAGATAAAATAAATAATAATATTTAAATAATAAACTGTTTATATTAAATAATTCTCTCTAAACCCTAAATGGTAAATTTATTCTTTCCTCAACATGAGACCTTCAAAGGGGTTTTCACGTTTTTCCTTATAACTATTGCAGATAAATATATCAAATCCTGTATCGATTAAATCAGGTTGAATGGGACTAACAGATAAGCACACAATATACATGGTGTTCCATTTGAAAAAATATAACTTCGCTCTGCTATACTTTTTTGACGCACCCTGTAATACTTGGAACTTACTTTGTTGAAAACTTTTGAAAATTTCTTGAAGCTTTTGTATTTGACACTTTGTCAAAAACCTCAAATGAAAAAGTTAGAAGGGGGTGACATTTATAATAGATCATCTAATAGATGTACCTATTCTTATATCAAAGGACCCTGCAGATTTCTAATGAGATTTTGGGATTCGGTCAATTTTTCTTAAAACTTGAATGATGCTATACTCTCATCATTCTGATTGAAAGTCTCCATAGGCACAACTTGACCCTATGACTAGTTTTCGAGATATAGAGTGTTAAAACAGTATTCTTGGCATAACTGAAATTCGCTATAAAAACGAGTTTTAGTGCAGAATTCTTTTCAAATTATATTTATATTAGGCTTTTTCGGAAACGCTGATCCGATTAATCGGATCACCAGCTGATGTACTTTGTCTTTTTTGAATCGTGTTCATTAAAGAAAAATGAAACACAAACAGCTGATGATCGGGTTAATCGGATCACCGTTTCCGAAAAGGCCTATTGAAACCTATTATTAGTATTGAACCTAATATTATTCTACTGCACAAATACAGGGTGTCCCAGCCGAAACTGAAGCATTTCAATAGCTAATATCCTCGAAACTGGAAAAGATAAAACGATGCTGTTTGCATCATTGTTTTTAATTACCCAATGGTTGAAGTCCGTTATAGAAATATTTTTTTTAAATGTTATATCGAGTGATATTAAAAAAATCCAACTGACACGCACGTCTTCAAGGGCTCATTCCAAACTTCGTTTTAGAAATAAGACATCAAACTATTCATTATTGAGAAGCTTAAGAAAAAAGCTTTTCCGCAATGTAAAAACATATGGGGTATTCAATTTAAGAAAACGATCGATCGAAGAAAAAGTTTTTTGAAGTTATAGAAATTCAATTTTTTATTATCACTCGGTATACAGCTAAAAAGCATTTCTATGACGGACTTATTGTATAATTAAAAACAATCGCATCCTTTCATCTTCTCTAAATCCGAGGATATTATAGTTGAATCAAATCCAAGAGGCAGTAATGGCATTAAATAACCTAAATTGTAAACATATACCAGCTGGTAATCCAGCCTTATTATTGGTTGAAACGCCCTACCAGGACCAGTGCGCATGCACTGAGGACATGTGACAGGTTGTAATGAAAATGACCAGTTAATATCATTACTGCCGCTTGGATTTGATTCAACTATAGCTATTAAAATAGTTCAATCTCGGCTGGGACACCCTGTATTTGTGCAGTAGAATATTATTCGGTTTAATACCAATAACAGGTTTCAATATATTGAATAGAATTCTGCCTTAAAACAAGTTTTTTATAGCGAATTTCAGTTATTCCAAACTAGTCATAGAATCAAGTTGTGCCGTGCCTATGGACACAGCATCATATCAAATTTCCAGAAATATTGAACGAATTCTAAAATCCCATGAGAACTGTGCGGGATCCTTTGTTGCAATATTTTATTTCGAAGATTATTATACAAAGATATCGCATTATATATGTTACCATCTTTTGTCCAGCCATTTTTCTATCAAGCTACAAATACATCTCGCAAAAAACTACGTCACTATGGTTGAACCAAATCCAAGCAGCAGTAAATGACATAACTGGTCATTTTCATTACAACCTATCAACCTCCGTGCATGTGCACTAGTCCAGGTAGCGTGTTTCAACTAATAGGAAGGCTGGTGTTTGTTTACAATTAAGGTTATTTAATGTCATTTACTGCCGCTTGGATTTGGAAATAGTGTAGTGATTTCAGCGTCTCTTTTAAGGTGTTTGTTAATTATGGTTATTCATAATTTATTAATTAAACCATAATTATATAATTTGAATAAACTTTATTAATGAAAGAATGGAGCTGCAAGATAAAAAAATTGACTAGACTAGACCATCGAACAAGGTTTATAATGGGGATAAAATGGACACTCGCGTTAAGGCCGGGACACATCTATCATGCATTCTTCCGATCCGACTCCGATCATACAATCAAGGTCCTTATTCTTGGAACAGAGGAGCAGCGGAACACTCGTTCTCCTGGGAATGCTGCTCTCTGCTCCAAGAATAAGGACCCCGATTGTATGATCGGAGTCGGATCGGAATAATGCATGATAGATGTGTCCCGGGCTTTATACGGGTCGAACCACCATTTGTGGTGCCATCTGTTGTCTATGAAAAGAGCTCATCCCATTGTAGCAGCTTGTAGAGCAGTTTCCTTCTAATTTTTTTAGATTTGCTTTTTATTTATTTTATGATAAAGACACAATTTGATACAAATTTAACAAATAATGGTTTATTACAAAGAAAGAAAAAAGTTATGTTGGTGTTTCGCAACTTGTCAACAAAGTCAACCCCCAATAACACAGAATTAAATAACAATAGTACCTAGTCGTTACACTAAACCTAAACAGAACACTGTGAAAGTTCACAAATACACACAGATATCGCTCTATTAACAATACGAAACACTTTTTTAACAAACAGAAATATTAAAAAAGAACAAGAAGCACAGCGTTTTGCAGTTCATCTTCATCGTTTTGTCATCATTTGTCATTTTGTCATTTTATTGGAAATGACGTCACCCTTCTTCTCCAGAAGCGGAGATACCTTGGAAATACAATCAACAACGCGTATGCAAATCAATTGGTAGCGCCTCTACCGGGCATGAAACAAGTTTTTTATCAAACCAAGTGGTACATTAAAGATCGCGGGGTATGGACTAGACTAGACTGACAAGAATGCTGACAGGACCAGCAACAAGTTCCCATATATTTGATTTCTATTTGTCCAAACCATCCAAACTTGCACTTATTTAAATTAAACCTAACATTGTTCTCTCTAGCTACCTTTGAAACTTTCTTTAACCTTTTATCATGTTCGATTTAATTTTTACCCCATATAATAATATCATCGATATAGATATCAGCACCCACAATTACTCCAAAAATATTCCTAAACCGGTCTTGAAATATTTCTGGTGCACACTTGACACCATAGGGTAGCCTCAAAAATCTAAACCTACCAAAGGGCGTCCGGAAGGTACATAATTTAGAGCTCTCCTCGTCCAAAGATATCTGATAAAATCCATTTGTAGCATCAAGCGTACTAAAAATGGTCGCACCAGCTAAATTAATCGCAATTTCCTCAAAAGAATTTTGCAGTGTTCTCTTCTAATTGCATTATTAAGATCCTTATAATAATAAATCATATAACTTATCATTTTTAAAACATGTTAATTTACATTTACCTAATACATTCAATTCATCACCAGTGTATGATTTTAATTTAATTTCTGTTTTATTTATAATTTTATAGGACAAACCCATAAACTTTTCCAAATACGAAAAGGTATTTATTATACTTGCCATTGCGCCTGTGTCAATTTTTAATTTAATATTTTTGTTATTTATATCTAAATTTGTTATCCATTCATTATTTATTGAGTTTATATGATTTATAGAACCTATAAATACAGACTGCTCTAAATTATCTGAGTATTTAGGAAGTGGTTGAATTTCATTCACTTCTTCAACTATTTCCCTAACTCTGCTATTATTATTTTTCTTTTTAATACATTTGGACCCGAAATGATTTTTATTTGCAATCATATATGCAATCTTGTCATTACTGACTTTTTAAAAATTTGGAAGTGACACTTTACCTGTGTCACTTCCCTCTTCGATTTCCCTCACCGATTTCCCTATTCGACTTTCCTCACCGATTTCCCTCACTCTAATTTATTTACCTTTGCTGGCAACAATGAGAACATGTCAGGTAAAAACGTCAAAGCAGTGAATGACACATTTTGGCATGTTTCTTTTATTTTTTTAATATTAAAAAAATTGATTGACTAATCATAATTAATGGTGTGCTTGCAAATAAAATAGTATACAAACCTCGGAGGAAAGTTTTCATTTCTGTCTCGAGATTAATAGTCAATCTCGACGCTTCGCGTCTCGATTGACTATATAAATCTCTCGACAGTAATGAAACACTTCCCTACTCGGTATGTAATATACTATTATAGTGACAAAAATTACACTACTTACCAAAAGCCGGACACTTATTTATTGGGTGAGACATACCAAATCTGGAACAATAATTAATTTTCTTTGTATTGTCCTGCTTTTTTTCTTGAATTACGCCTTTTTTCTTAAATTGTTTTTCACACATCTACTGACATACCTGAGGACATACTATTGAAGCCACCTGCCATTGAGTCGCTTCGCTCCTTAGATATCTCTAAAATTGTACATTTTTCGATTACTCTGTCAAGGCTTACCGTGTCATCCTCTTGAAGGAGTTTTTTTCTAATGGAACAGTTGTTCATTCCACAGATCAACACAGTTTTGGTTATAGTCCAGGAGGCAGTGAAATTTTTTAGCACTTATTTTCCCAGTTGATGTCTATTAAATAGTTTGTTCTCCTGATGATACAAAGCAAGAATTTTTGAGTCTGGCTAAAATTTTCGGATGGGTTCACAAGGTCAATGAAAAATACGAGTAGGCTTATTTTCCCAGATATAAATATTTCACATTTACTACAATAGAACATAAAGTATATGAAAATAGCAATTTGGCTTATCTCAGATAGTGAAAGTGAGTCTGGCTGAAAATTTTCGGATCTTCAATTTTTCACTTGCCAGATATATTATCCATATCTCATTAGTAGACCTATTTTTATCAGTGAGAAAAAAAAGGGTCGTGCATTGGTAAACTTTAACGCATTTTGCGCCTCAACCCATCGGAAAACCCCCCTAAAAATGTATGTATTTTGCTTAAAATTACTAACCCTACAATTCTATCCATGTTTTCTGACTGGGAAAATAAGTACCAGAAATCGTCACTGCCTCCTAGACTACTTTGAAGCCCTCTTCACCTATGAAATGCCTGAGCACGTCCTTTTCATTGATTTCACTTGCTACTAAATAGTTCTCAAAGCGAGACCTCCAGATTTTCCAATTTTCTGCAACATTTCCAGACATTTGCATGGGGGGCACACCTCTGCTATCTCCCATGGTTATCTTTATTTCACTTGATTTCTTATTTCAACCCACAAAAACCTTTTTTTTCCACTCGACTCACGACTGCATCATGTTAATTATGGTTGTTCATAATTTAATAATTTAAACATAATTAACAGTGTTCATTGCAGATTCTAGAATTTACACTAGATAGTTCGAGCAACCATAGTTTTCTGGTAGTTCAGACATAACTATTAAACTATTGGACCTCTAATAAGAGCTATATCATTCCTTGATGGCCTTATTCTATGTGTATTCCACTGAAAAGAGACTCCAGCCATCTGCACCGACTATTTCGGGGGAGCCTTAACGACAAGTATTCCCTAAAATGAAATTTTTATATGTAGAAATATCAGTTTAAAGGAATACTTATCGCTAAGAATCCCCTAAAATATTTAGTTGGTGGAAACGGCCATAAATAAATCAGTTAAGTCTTCAGGAATAGATGACTAGTTTAAGGATTTAAAGAAGCCTTAGTTGATAGACTAGAAACTTACTTGTATCATTTCCATGAAACAAAAATGGATCAAAGCTTTATCCAAGTAGGTTCTGATAAATAAACCTTTTAAATAGATTCGAAGAAATTGATCCAGTATTAAACATTTTCTTTTCTCAATATCGATCACCAGGGCCCGCATTCTCAAAACAGGGTTCTCTCATGAGAACAAAGGTTCTGTTATAGTCGTCCACATTGTTATTTCCATAATATTGACAAAGACAGAGCAATCGTTCTCTTGAGAACGCTGTTCCCCGGTTTCGCAAGTAGACCTGCAGGACTCTATGCGCATATTCGCAGTACTTTTTCCTTTTATGTGAGAAGGTCCACCACTCACGGATCCAAAGGAATCCCGAAAAACAGTTTGCAGTTTCCAGCATCAAATTTTCTATGCCACGATCAGTTGTTAAGGTAAGTGAACAACCGTTTAAGTCACCAACAGCTGCTTAGTAATAGCTTGCAATAACTTTAGGATCATTTGTCGTTGTGCTTGCTCGCAACTAGATTATATGTCTTGAAAATCCATCAATACAACCGTAAATGCAGATTCCGAATCTTTTAAATTTGTCGTAGGAATCGACATGCCTAAGATAATTTGGTCCCCTACTGCTGTATTGACGGCTTCTTAATTTTTTTCTGCGACAATCTACGCCCTCAGGATCCACCTCGGAGGGAATTTGTCGCACTACTCATGCACTTTAAATGCATTGCCTGTAATCGCATAATTGAGCAGACATACCGATCTCAGACATATTAAAAGCAAAAATGTATTCGAAAGGACTGAATTTGTTTTTTTTTTTTCAGTAATAATTATGACGTCATGAAATTGGTAACTTAAATAATGAATAAAAAACCGATAGAAATTTTTTTTTTTTTTTATGAGTGTTTATGAGCAAAACAAGCCTTTGTTTTTTCGTCATCATTTGAAAACCGCTAAACCAAATGTTTTCAGAATCGGGGATTAAATTTAGAATAAAGAGACCTTGAGAACGATATATCATTCAACACCGCCTTCTATTTAAAAAAACGTTTCAAAACTGCGCCTAGCTGTCATTTTGACAGCTGAGGCTGTCATTTGTTTTCCGAAAAATTGAGAATCTAGTTACATATCATCATTCCAAATTTCGTTGCAATATACCGAGCGGTTCAAAAGTTAGAGGAGGGGGCAACGGACTTTATGTCCTCACTGTATGTTTTTTTTTTTTTCAGTTTGAGCCCATACGAAATAAACGATAGAAACGACAGAAGTCGAAGGTCAGTCGAGTTTACCGGAAACCAAACCAAATACCAAAACTCAACGACTGCTTCAACAAACGACAACGAAGGCAGACAATCTCGAAAATTCTGCGACCAAGGTGGCATCTTCTGCACTTTATATAACGTTATAAATGGCGAAACAAGGTCACCTCAAGCCGTATCTCCTCAAAATTTGCCCATTGAGAGGAGAGATGATAGTAACGCAGCACCATCAAGATATGAAGGTCCACCAACACCTTGTCCAGCCAAAGTGGAATACGCTACACCAGTATTTGCCAAAAACTATCAAGGTACTTGGAGATACGTTGTGCAAATACCTTATGAAGGTTACTTTACACAAACAGTCGAAGTTACCAGATGTTTGCAATCAAGATGCCACTACCTTGATGGTGGTTGTTTATCCTCTCCAAGGTGGTCCAGCCTTTTGGTAGCAGAAATCTACTATCCAGACACAGTGTTGAGCAGTAGTGACACTGCTAATATTCAAAGAAACCCTGTAACTGGATCGCAACCCCCACCAGTTCAAGATTTTCAAGTACAGACCTCGTTTACGGGTTTTTCAACATTTTAAACCAATTTTGTTTTAGAATTACCAACAATACCTTCAGAAACGCGCCGGAGTTCAACCAGATACACCTTCAACGAATAGACCGACTCACTGTGATGGTGTGGACACTTTGGGTTGCTTTCAAGTGAGGCTATATTACGACTGGTTCTTGATTCCTGGTTCCTGCAAATGCTGGCGGCCCGATTACTTTAATAAATATGTTAGAAGAAAACCTTCAACCACTGATATTTAAATATGTATAATTAACTTTAAGACTGATTCTTTTTATCATAATAAAAAAATTCAACTTTTGATTTGAGGAAATTCAAGTATTGAATCAGCGTTGCTTTAGTGGTTGAATTGATCGAATCTTATACTTTACTGATTGCAAATATTTCTCAAGAAAAATGGATCAGAATTCACTTGACTATCAAATTTTGTGTAAAAGTATCAAATAGAGATAAATTGGTTACCTACCTACTTATTAACGTACCATGGTCAATGTTACAAATTTGAATTAAAAAAAGGTGAGTTCTATGGAGAAAAATGTAGCAGCCTGTGGTACGTTTACCTGACATCAACTCCTGGACCCTGCGCCGAGGGCTACTATCCCGACTCTCGAGCGGCGTTGCCGGCACAACTACTCTATGCCACAAAACACAGCTAGAAATTCATATTCCTAGCATTTGCAATATTGTAAAAAAGCAAAGTTAAGGTTTCAACTTTTATACCTATGTGATGTAACTAGGTAGAGGTCAATGACATCTCAACACAGATAGACACCACATCTCCTTCATAAACTGATGTCTGTTGTAATGACAAGAACCCCCATGGGCCAGGAGAGGTGAGCTGCTCGAGGGGGGTCATGGTAGGGATGCATCAGTGGTGTAAACAAGACCCGTATTCCCTCTGAATCCTATAATTTACTTGACCAAAATAATGAAGAAATGCCCACGGGTGCAACTCGTTTATCTGTCTGCCTCTAACTCATATGATATATATTACAGGTGTGTTCCGCCCGTCTTACAGAATCGGCGGTGCCAGTAGTAATTTTTAGTATTGAACCTCCAAATTTTTGAAGCAAAGTCGGTAGACGTATATGATAAATATCATTCTAATAAACCTTTCCCACAGAATTTTTTTTGTTAAACGTCTATAGGCTATTTAAAGTCCTTCATGCAAATGGTAAATTGCTCACACTCTTACCCATAGATGTCGCGTTGTTATGTGCTAGCTGAGGATGAACATCGTAACCCGGTAAATGCATTATTGAGCTCCTCGAACTCAGCAGTGACAGGAGGACTCTCATTAAAAGTAGATAACTGGTCTGTGCCATTGCCTCGACTAATAGGGACTCCTGAATTATCCGGGATTGAAAGAAATGCTTAACCTGAATAAAATTTATGCTACATAGGAAGATTGAAAGCCAAGTCGTGCTCTTCCGGAAACGAAGGCTCTCTATCTATTCCCATACGAATACGATTTGGAGGAACAAGGATAAATATCAACTTCTGAGTAGTCGAGTAATAAAATATATTACTATTTTACAGATGTAACTATCAATGAGTATTAACAATTGAAACAATTAAAATATTTAAATGCAATAATTAATCAATTAATACCTACAAATTATATTTAACTGAAAGATATTTTCTGTTATCCAAAAAACCTCTAAAATTACTAAAATTACTAACACTAATATATTTACGAAAAAACTCGCTTTAGTTTGGTTAATAGAGGAATTAAAACAATAAAATAGTCTTATGCTTTTTCTACAATATCTAATTCACTAGATCCAGGAACAGTTCGTAGAAGGACGAGTTGCCGCTCGCATAAAACTGCGGAAATTCAAAATGATTTAAATAAAATGATCAAATATAAAGTCTAGTACTTTAACGGCGTCTGCAAGGAAAAAAATAAAGCGCAAGTGCTAACAAAAAAGCAAAGCAAATTCACAAAAGTACACTGTTACTACTGTTAGCAGATTTCACTACTGTTAGCAGTTTAACTAAATCTTACCCAACAAAGTAGCGAATATTATAGCCATATTCGATCTGGATACCCGTTTTCTCAATATTTTGCATATATCTACTGGTTTTATCGAGAAATGTTCGTGTATGATTCCAATTATTTCGGAGTACCTAGAACAAGTCATTATCAATCCTAAAAGTAATTTTCTGCAAAATAAGAGCGGAAACGACTCATAGTTACAGTACGCGGTACGAGACATTTAACATCAGAAATGTAAAAAGATATTCAAATTAAACTCAAGAAATTAAAAATATATATATTTATAAATATAAATAATGAGGAGGTCATGCTGAGTAGGTACTTCCAGGTCATGGACTAAAAACTGAAATGATATGGCAATCTGAATTTTCAGGTTTCTACGCGATTTATTTAGACTATTTTGGAATTGAGGAGAGGTAATAACAACGGTTCCACTAAGTTGGTGCCACCTAATTTGGTGTTCATATCTAAACTAGGAGATATTTTCAAAAACCTTAGAACCAATTGGTTAAATCTTCTGTTAATTAAGTTGATCCTTGGTTATCAGTAAGTTTATTTTCTATGCTGAATCAATATCTTATTTATAATCTAAGCATTTATCCAGCTGTTTTATAAAATCTATGAGAGCGTTAAACGATCAGATTTTGCAGCGATTAGTCCACGCCCAAGATAAAAGGTTGGGAGAGAGGCGTAATAACAAGGACTCCCACAAGACACGCCTGGAAAATAAACAGGAATTTTCATATGAGGGCATGGGACAGAATGTAATTAAAATCAAATACGACTTCGCTCTTGTCGGCCCCAAGGTTCTGGGAATTAAAAGAAGACGATGGGACTACGCCAGTATTCCAAAAAATCAGATAAATAAGAAAATAAAGCTAGGTTGACACGGTTCACGAGTACTTAGATCAAATACCCTTGAAGGCTGCGCGCGCCTTACTTGGAAGATCCTTGGATCGTATCTACTGTTTATTCAAGTCCAGTGGAATAGGTCCTAAAATCCAAGTAAGTAGGCTGGCTGTCAACTTACTTGGTCAAGTTGTCATCCAAATACATTATCGAGAAATATTGAATATACCCGAACTGTTTAAAATTAGAGAAATTATAGTAGGTATGAGGTATAATAGTATAATATAATGATTATTGCTACAGAAATTTAATCGGACTTACCATTTCTGACCAAACTCAGCCCTGAAAATTGAAAGAAAAATATACATAAGTAAATTGTTTATAGAAAAATATAACAAATCTTACCGAGGAGTTGAAGGTAGTTTCTTCTTCGGCAACTGTTCGTGTGCTATCTCAGCAGGGCTGCAAAATAAATCAGATTGAAACTGTTACTATGGCTGCGTTCACCAGAACCAAAACAGGTTGTGAACAGTTTACAAATATAGGTTTTTTATGTAATATACTACTCAAAACGAAATAAGGACCACTTTTAAGGGCAGGTTTTCATTAAATTTTGAATAACCCTGGTAAAGTGACTATTTTTACAATAAGTAACTATAGATAAACAATGCACAAAAAATTTATATTGTGAATGGAAATAAACACTTTACCAGGGTTATTCAAAATTCATTTTTAACGTTGTTACGATAAATTTATCATTAACGTAACATGTTCCATCTCTTCTTATTTTCATTATAAGGTCGTATTTTTTCCATTTCAGAATCAGCAAAATAATCTAAAATATCCACAAGGTTCAAAATGATACAAGTGCTGCCATCTATCCATCATCTGCGTAAAATGCAAATATCTCTTATTCATTTACCAGTACTACCATCTAGTACCTGATGGATTTATTTTTCAAAGTATGATTTTAATTATTTCGCATTTGACAGTCATTTGTATTTTCATTGAAAGAAATTATATTTATCTCACTTTTAGCAAATGGATATATTTATGTCTTTCTCAAACTTCTGATTCTGAAATAATCAATTTTTGGCTTATTGACCTAATTAATTAGCAGTTTTTTATTTTTGACATAACCTTAATTTAAATTATTATAATTTGTAAACAATTAAAATATTTCTAGTGGATTTTTATCTATTCTCTTCTATTCCACGTAGGTTTTTATTGTGAAGTGAATATGATCTTTTGGGTGTACTCGTCTGATTGGTTGAACTGGTTAAAATGCAGTTAAGTATAAAAAACACAGAATCGTTTTCCTGTGGGCTTTGGTTTCTAAGGCGATCTCTTTCCTAAACAGAAGTCTGGCAGGCAAGTCCTCTTTATTTTGATTAATTTTTGGATTCGCCCTTATAGATTTTTCAATATATTTTACTATCAATGCATATTATCATATCATTGTTAAGTTTTTACCTGATAAATCTTATCTTATCTGTTCTTGAAATATAAATATTACATTTTAATTTTTTTTATCTAATTGTTGGCTTCCATTTTGTGTGAGTGTCGATTGGTAGTGCCAAATTTATCTGAGGAAGGTCAATTCAAATTTTTGGATTTTAAAAAAGGTACTGCTGCTCTGGTTTTCAAAATCAATTGTTAATGTGGGAATATTGGACCATTTGCTCTAAATAGAGTCGGTGAAAACCAAATTTGTGTGTCCATCCCTATCACTCTTTATTGAGTCCAGGCAGAGGCCTGAATAGCCATTTTCTGTTTGACTCCGTCAATCATTATCTCGACTAAAGGGTGTAATATTTTTTAATAGAAATCCAGACAGGTCACAAATTCAGTTGAAACGTTTTAATTAAAACATCTAAAGAATTTTGACATATTCTGGATTCGATTAATTTCAACCCCAGGTTTATCTTGTAGTATCTATAGTAGCTACATGCTACCTTAATTTGAATGGAAAATTTTGTCTATTTAGGGGAGAGTCCAAAGATTAAGTTTCTTATTGTTTTACCTTATTTTTGTTCATATTTTTGCCTGCCAGAGCTGCTGTCAGGAAAGCAGCATTTTTGCTCAATCATAACGAGCATTTCAATTTATTCTGCAATAGCTGTTCATACCTGATTCTGTTGGAAGGGAGTGTCTGTACAACAATCGTTTTACATTAAATTTCAATTTCAATTTCCTTTGCAAGACACTCACTTTTTGACAAAATTCAGGGATTTAATATTCCAAATATTGGTGAACCTGTCTCGTATATAAAAAGAGCAGTGCATATGGTTAAAAGTAATGAGATGAACTGGGAGAGAACATAGATGCGCGCGCCACTAAGGGCCTTAGTGACATTTTTTAAGTTGGCGCATTTAGTTTGTTCCTGAAAAATTAATGTTGGCCTCACTGTTTGTGTGTGGTTATTGTCATTACCTGATTGTCATTTGCTGTCAGTTCGTCATCGTGTTGTAGGTTACTACTAGGTAGGTACATAAGATCAGTATATAATCGGATTTGATTCAAATTGTTATTAACTTTACCGGCATCGCCTACGTGTCTTAACATGGCGTTCCAGTGAACCAGCAGTATTAGACTGTGAGATAGGGGCTGTTTAGTGGAGTCATTTTTATTTGTCTGGCATTTTGAGGGCTGAATGTGGCTACTAAGCTGATGAGAATATGGGTGATTTTAATGCCGGCCTCCCGTTTGAAAATTTGCAGACGAAAAAAATTGATTTTCATGAAAAATTTTTTTTTATCCCATTTTGACGTTTAAAAGTGACATTATTGAACGCATAACAATAGAGGTAAGTAGACGTTTATCATCTCAGTGATTTAAAAAGATTTTAACTCACTCTCGGCATTTTGAGTCACTCTGCCCAACTAAACATCTGATACCTCAGTGATTTAAAATATTTTTAACTCACTTTCGGAATTTTTTCTTGAACTTTATTTTTTAAATTTCCACAAAATGGGATAAAATTTTGTATACATCACGTGAGTTAAAATATTTATTCATTTGAAGAAAATTAACCCACTCGCTAGGGCTCGTGGGTTAAACTTTCTTCTCATGAATAAAAATTCATTTAACTCACTTGGTGTATAAATAACTATTGATGATCTCAAATTTTCTAGCTTTTAAATAAAAGATTGATATTGATAAATAATTCACCCATGAAAAATATCAGATGCTTTTCAATAGCTGAAAAAATGGGGATGGGTGTCAACTTCCAAGAGAAAAGAAAAGAACCTTCCGCGTTTACTTTTTGTCTGGCAATCGAGAGAATGAAAGGTTTTGTTGTGAAAATAACGCTGAAAAATCGCCAGACGGTAATCACAGTTCGAAATCGAGTTTTCCGGCGAAACATTCTGTAAACATTTCGAACAGGAGGCAGGCATTAAAACCACTTATATTCTCATCAGCTAACTAGTCACATTCGTCCCTCAAAATGCCAGACAAAAAAAAATGACTCCACTAAACAGGCCCTATGTCAGGGTCTATATATCCAGATTCGAAAACTAGGATATAGCGGTAGTTTGCATTTTTTCAAACGAAGGATGGCAGGGGCTATAAATTCTCAATGGAAAGATACATACATGATGTATTCACATGTGGATTGAGTATTAAAGCAACGTGTTGACGAAGCCAAACTAGAGAATATAGAGAATGAACTGTGCAATGTCCTTCTCGGTTTACCGCCTGTACGGCACAAAACGTTAAGTGCAAATTGATTTCGAAGAAGCTGCCGCGAATGAACAGCAAACACGACTGAAAACAAACAGTACTGCTTGGCATGGTTTCAGACGATACCGGTTTACGGCGTCCAATTTTAAGATGATTTGTAACTGAAGGGCTGTAAATGAAAACTTTACGGAAGTGTTTATGAAATCTACTGTTCTGTCGGAGCATCAGACACGGCCTTACGAATGAGAGCACTGCAATCACTCATTATCTGGCAGCAAAGAAAAATGTGCAATGGCTTCAGTGTGGCCTAGTAGGTAATACATCCTTACGCAGTCCATCTTGGCAGTAGCCCCGATGGCATAATTTATTGGAAAGGGCATGGATATGGTACATTAGAAGTAAAATGTCCGTGTACTACGAAAGCGCAAAACTTGAAAGAAGCCTGCGAGTTACTAGATTTCTGTTTAGAGCTTAAAAATGGCGAGTACACGCTGAAGACATCCCATAAGTACTATTATCAGGTGCAAGGACAGATGTTGTTATATGGCCTACGTTGGTGTGATTTTGTGGTTTTCATGAAAAACACAAGCAAATTAGTCGTACTAAATGGCGTTTCCGATATATACCCATTTGTAGACTTTTATTTTTTTTAAATTAACAAGTGTATACAAAATGTATTCGTCTGAATTGCCTTAATATATTTCTTCTTCCGTTTCCTGATTCTCCTTAACTCAGACCCAACTTGGATCGAAAATTTGTCAAAATGCAACACATCGAAAAAATCTGTTCCATGCTTCCTAACAGTGCCACCGGTACTTTTCTTCTACTGAGTATCCGATACGCTTTTAGCCTAGCTATTGCGCGCTCCACATGGATACGTTTATGCGCAACCTTACAAATCCATGCCACTTCAGCTTGGCTGAATTGTTGCCCTGTTGCGAAATGTTGGTATGTTTAGTTCAATTTCACATGTGTTAAATAATGACTCAACATTAAACCCTTTATCGGCCAAAATGATGTCTCCTGGTAAAAGCATTTCCGTTTCAACTTTCCTATTAGGAATGTCAATAAATCCAGATTCTTCGACAATGTTCTTGTCGGATAGCGAACCCGTAAATAATGGGAACATGTATATTATGGACCCATTAGGGTCCGTCATTATAAGTGACTCCGAAGTTGTACAGCCTTTGTAGTTGGTAAAACACTGACTTTGTTCAATGGCATTCAATGGCAATTTCCGTACAGTCAATGCTTCCAACCACATTTTTATACTGCTGTTGGCTCGCCAAGGGCGCATGTTTCAATAAAATGTCGCGATGAGGCCACATATTCAGTTAAACCCACATACATGAAATTAATCCAGTCAAGGCATATTTTACCAGCAGTAGCCTTCGACAAATTGAAAAAGTCTCCAAAAGTCTCGTACTCGAAACCCCTTCGTAACCGACATGAGGTTAAAAACATTTGATTCATGAGAGATAACTTGTATTTCTTGGTTTGTGGTGAGCGCAGTTCCTCATCAACATTAAGATCCTTCAATTGGCCAGATGGTAAGATAAATCGGAACAAAGCCACAATGACCCCAAACGAATGCATACCCGTGTAATATCTTATTTTAAGATCACTATGTTGGAATTTATCAATAGCAAATACTGCTGTATTTATAGTGCACTCCTTTAATATTTCATTTCCAGCTTGTAAGTAGTACTCGACTTCTGCTGGAAGTACTTGCATTCGTCGTTGTAGATCCTCAATAATTTCGTTGGGTGCAGTGTTCGGGAGATCTATTTTCGTTCATCGTGGAAAAGTTCCATGATCGATCAACCTTTCCTTTTCCAACTTCAGCCTCCAATGAGAAGGGAATAATTTCAAAGACCTTTTCATCCATATTAGAACTTTCTGAAGCTTCATTTACCATTGTCCATTGGAAAATATTTGGTGATACGTTTTTTTAACTTACTAGTACCACCATACATAAAGTCGGTGATATGAAAATGCTGAGAGCAATCCTTTCAGGGAAAAGCAATCTATTTTTTTTTTCAATAAAACAGTACCTACTCATCAACTAACCCTTAGATCCTTTTTCAACAATACCGCATCACAATAAACTCATGTGATACAAATCTACTTGTCCAACAAACTTTTGTCCCTATGCGGAAAGTGGAAAAATGATAGCTCACCATTTTTTTTGCCCCCACCTGCCTGCGCAGAAATGCAGTTTATACCTTAAATTAAGAATAGGGAATTCTCATGAGAAATAAATATGGTTCATTTTGTTTTTATGGTGCATATATTTCTGTAAAATATTAAATATAAGCAGTTTTGCGTTTAATATATCGATATTATTGTCATAGGGCAATTATTAGTTTTAAATTAAAAAGTTTCGCGCGAAAAAGCTACGTTTGACATGGCCGCTTTCGGTGACGTCAACTGTTCATAAACTAAGGTTAAGGGTAGTTCACACTGACCATGAATAACGAACGTACGTGGTCCACGCTTTCGTATTCCACTCTTGGGTCGTGAAGAACGATTGGTCCACGATCAGCTCACTTCACTGATATTAAACTACCATAAATGGGTAAGAGAAAGATTGTCATGCTGCGCTTCTGTAAATCCTGTATCAATCATGATAAACTGATTAAAATACTAAATGTCACAATAGTGTCATACAAGTGTCACACAATCAAACACGCGTCATTTTAATATACATTTTTTAATAAAAATAGTTGCTCAGTTGCTCTAAAGCAGGGCTGTTCAACTTCAAGAGCCACTTTGAACAAAATTACTGTTTGGAGGGCCGCATTATAAAACACTTCGAATGCAACTTCATTTGTGAGTTTTAATAGGCATGGTATACAAAGAAAAAACGCGATCCTATATACGATATACGTGCTGCGTGGCTTCCCGAATAATAGCTTTGATTTGGTTCGACATTTGGAACGGTTCTGGGATTGCGCAGAACTGCTTGTGCACAAAAATAATAGAGGACTGTTCTAATACTAGTCCTGAACCGATTCGGAACCAAAGAAACCAAAACACGCGGCAAATCACAAAATTCTGAAACAGTCCCTCCTTCAGAAGAAGAACTGAGAGAACCGTTCTAGAACAATCCCGGAATTATTCTTAAATAGTTCTAGATAAACAAAAACACTGTCAACACAGTTCGATTACGATTCTGACAAAATTAAAACGCGTTTTATTGTATGCGCACGTGCAGATTGATTCTGAACTAGTTCTGAGTGAAACCAAAACAAAGCTATTGTCGAGCAAGATTCGTCCGAATTCCAGTAACTTCGCTGCGACTTTCTATCCTTCGCCAGTGGCGTCACATGTTTTTTTATTTGCGTTTTATCGTGAATGTAAGCATTGTGCATATTTCATATTTGAGAGTAATTTATAAATTTGGGGGCCTGATCCGCGGGCCGCAAAAAGTGCTGCCACGGGCCTCTTGTTGGACAGCACTGCTCTAAAGTATTAATACTTGATAATAAGTACTAATATACATATATCTCGAACAAACTACAGCATATTTTAACTCACTGCGCAGTTGAATCTTCACGTTTGATTCCATATGATTGTTCCCTATTAGGGATTTTCTGAAACTAGCTAGCTCTTTAAAATAGAACTAACCAAAAACCAGCTAGAGTGACAACAAACATGTTGACATTTAGCAGATCGTATGGATCGTGGCTTCCGAATTTAACGAACTAGAACGACTCCAATTTTGGGTATAAACGACGATCAAATTATGGAGATTTAAAATTTAAATTTTTAGTTTAGTGTAATTCTCAGTTTAGTTCAATTCTTAATTCAGAAGTATAAACCAGGCATAGTGTCACAACTGCCCGCTTTACGGGGGTGACATGGGGGGTTTGTAGCTTTGGGGGTTGATGGAGAGAAACTCGCTCAGGTTATATAAAAATATAGATATATATTTTCCCAAATATGCCCTTACATGTACGCTAATCGTATACGATGCATGACCCTTCGAACACTGGGGTCCTTATAGGGGGGCCACACGTCAACGCTGCTTGGGGGACTGTAGGTTAGTTTATCGTCACCCTTATGCCTTGTCCAGAGGGGCGTTCCCAACGAGAGGTAATTGCACTGGACAACGATAAGGCTGAAGATACCCAGAGGGGCTTTCCCAACGAGAGGTACTTGCACTGGGGAGACTCAATTCCAGAGGGACTTTTCCAACGAGAGGTACTTGCACTGGTTTAAGTCTGCCTTTGCTGCGGCTTGCAACGCAATTTATATCAATTTATTGCTGAATTGCAATAAACATCCGATCGAATCGGCAATTAAATTAATAAGGTTAAATACCGGGTCCTCCTTTCCTAAGCAGCTAGTTGGCAATAGTGTCAAAAAGATTCGCTACGCTCCTATATCTTTCTTCATATCCTCACCGAAGATGTTTATTTTTTTGAAATAACGAAACATTAGAGCATAAATAATGCTTGTCAAGCCTGAATGTTCTGTCACTTTGGAACGATGTAAATTGCTTTTATTTACGACTAATGTATAATGTAAGTATTATTCTTGTGATTTTGGCAGTATAATGACATATGTTATTCCCACAGGGAATAATGACGAGTAGCGGGATTAATGGTCATTATTTCTCAGAAGTGTCAGTGTCAAACGGGTATAGTGCTCGTGGATTTGTATTGAGAATTGAGATGGATGAAATTTGTTCATTGAAAATCTCAAATAAATTAATTTGTCGTAAATAAAGTAGAGTATACTACTCGCAATAATGGCTATTATTCCCACGGGAATAATAGCTATCATTATTGACTCGTGGTATAATCTACTATTATTGCACCCTTTTTATTTTTCTCTGCATTCCTTTACAGGTACCTATAGGATTATGACGGCAAGATCTAGAACTAGATACTCACACTTCTGGTGGTAGATCTTCAGGCAACATCACGGGCAGCGGTGGTTCGGGAACTTTAAAAGGCTCTATATCTTCTACTCTTACAACAGGCGCTCTAAGTAAAACAGAATAGAGGTTAGTCTTTCAAAATAGCTAGAATAAAAAACCTTACAAGCGTCTTCTTTTAGCTGGTGACATTAATAAACCATTATGGGCTGCTGGGGCTATCTCGTGGATAATTGTTTTGTCCCTGAAAAGTCAGACAAAAGTGATTGCATTGAAATATAAGAAAAATATATACAGTGACTCTCAGAAGTTCGCAAGTATCTCCATATTCCGAAACAGCTGGACAAACAATAATTTACAATTTTTTTTTTCCAAGAGGGTAATAGATCATTGGATATTCCTGATACCCGATTTAAACGCGGGACATCATATTTACTTCTATTGCAATCGATTCCATTACCTAATCCAGCTTTTTCCGAAGATCTCTAGGTACCTACTATATCTGGTTTCAAAAACGGGGGGTCACAGAGTATCTTTTTTCAAGAGGCCAGCCCCCGGATCACGAAACCTCGATTCGATCGTATCGTCTATGTAATTTATATGAACGATACTATCGAATTGTGGGTTCGTGATCCGGGGGCTGAGGCCAAAAGGCAAGAAATGGCATTAGACCTTTATGAAACAAAAAAAAAATGTATTTTAATGTTACAATAACTCTGTCTATAGTATGATTACCTGGGGTGCGTTCAAGGACGGCAATGCTAATGCCAAAACCTACTTTTTCCCCCTCCGCCGGTAATGCCAAACCACGTAGGTTGGAGCCGAACTCGAACGCAAAATGCCAATTTTGGCTTGGTTGTAGTCATTCCTGAACGCAGCCCAGGTAATACAATTTATTCTCGAGGAATCTTGCAGTCAAATACAAAACATTTATACAGGTTGTTTGGCGAAGGGTTAGCCAAACTTGGTGGGTGTATATAGATAGGCCAATTCCGAAGATATTTTATTAATACACTAGTGCCCTTAAGTTGCCCGTTTTTTTTTTATATCAATGCTTTGGTATTATTCTCAAGAATTTCCAAAAATGGACCTTTTAACTTCTGTAACTTTCATCAAGATCAAGGATACCCTACAGACCAAAACGACAAGAAAAAAAAAAAAACATTATCATAAGCATTTAAAAAAAAAAGTTACAGAAGTTGGAAGGTCTATTTTTGAAAATTCTTGAGAACAATACGAAAGCAATGATAAAAAAAATGGAACTACAGGCCGCCTACAAGTGTATTAATAAAATATCTTCGAAATGGGCCTATCTATATGCCCACCGAGTTTAGCTAACCCTCCGCCAAACACCCTGTATAACAATGATTTCCATTCATAATACACAAAATAAGCTGCAAAAATTTAGATGCCGGTAGTTTTAGTGAGTTTTAATTAGAAACCAGGTCCCCCTCCATCGGTCTTGCTGGTAAGGATTTCATTACTGAAGATTCCTTTGCCTTTTTTGTTTTTCAAGACGTCTGCCCTCTTCGCTGTTAAAAATATTGGCTTCCCTGCATTTTTGGATGGCAAAGTTCTGAGGTATTTTCTCGCGTCTCAAATGTTTCAAAATGTTTTTCAAAACTGGTTCAAAACAGTGTCACATGACGTCATAACTTCTCGGCGCGAGAAAATGGTTTGAAAACGTGGATATTTCGAAACGGTTTGAACCAATTTTGATGTGACGTCATGGGTTCATCGCGAGAATATATTGTTTCAAACCTGTTTTGAAGCAGTTTCAGAAACGTGAACGTGAGAAAACAGCTCTATCTTAAAGTTTTGATTAGGTTTGTTCAGTTTAGACTCCACAGCACTTATCCATATATTTCGAGAACAATGTTCATTGGTTGCAGGTAGGTACCCCAAAATATATAAAGTTTTTCCTTATTTTATTTGTCTTCTCATTTTAGGTATGGTTGCCGAGTCTCTTTACTTAAACTTTACTCTAAAAAGTTCACAATTCCCCTTTGTCCCACTGTTTTTTCAAATTTTATCAATCTCTGGAAAGTCATTGAGAAATTTCATAACATAATGTTAGTTTATATAAGTATGAGAACGCCAATTTAGGCCACCGTACCCTGTTCTGCAGTGTCTCACATATCAATTGGCTAATAGACCTATCTATTTTAACCTGTATGCACGCGCAACACGAGGCAATGCATTTTTATTGGCTAACTAGTACAGGTGTGAAGTAATCCTTTTGCACGCTAGGCATCTCTTTGTCCTTGTTCATTGCCTGTGGTCTGACAAGGATAAAATTATGCTTGATATTCAACTTGACGTAACTTGACAAGTGATCGATTTTCAATTGTTTGTGTTTTTGATTGACAAATAGATTGCTCGTCACGCGGTTCTCCTCTTTCCTTTTTTATCCCGTGCAAATAATAAGAACGGATTGCTATACGTTAGTCTAACATAATTTGGTACGTTTTGCCTCGTCTTGCGCAATAAGCGTTCTGCGTCTTTTTCTATCTAATAAAGTTTTCGTATTATTACCTCTTTGTCTGGTAAAATAGATAGGTCTATGCCGTACAAGTAAAATTATGAAACAACAACGATTTCTGAATTCCCGAACGTGTGTTATTAGACTATTCAAAACACGTGACTTTGACAAGCAAACAAAAGGTTTGTGTGCCTCTTGGCGGACATTTTTATTTAATTTTGACAGCATCTTGGAATTGTCAGCCTATCCAAAACATGTGACTTTGACAAGCAAACAACGGGTTTGTGTGCCTCTTGGCCGACATTTTAATTCAAGTTTGACAGCATCTTGGATAGTCTAATAGACGAGGCTATAGATGAAGTTCGTTCTAACGTTCTATTATAAAAAATAGAAATTATTTTTTTCACGGAAAAATAAATACCCATAATGCATAGTTCAAAAACACTTACACTGGAGTAGAGGTCACTGGGCGAGCATGACTGTCTAGTAAGGAAACTCCCTTAGACAATGCAGACACCCTTGGGGTACTGGCATCTCGAATGGAGTAACTAGGCACGCTAAAAACAAAATTTAACCAAATAATAATAAAATATTATTGCATAATTTTTACTCAGATAGGTCGGTTCCTCTCGGCTCAACGGTCACTTCGCCAACACGAAATTCTAGATCAAGATCGGGCCAGAATTTTTTCGAGGGTATAAACTTGCCCAAGGGACCTTCAAAGCCAATGGGAAATTCCTTTTCTACATACGTCTATAAAAAAACAATGTCATTAGGCTTGTAATTAAGTAAAGGTAGGTAGTTAACAATGTGGAATTATACTCACCCAATCCTTATCAATTATTGCCGGAAATCTGTATTGGCTGGTTTTCATCGCTAGCTTGTCAGCAAAAGTTTTCTTTCTGTATTCCTAAGTAAAGTGAATTATTTTTTGAAATTTCGATTGTCGCACATGAAGCGAGATTCAAAAGTTTTACACGCCACCCATTTATGAAATGATGCGTTTTTCCTGAGTGAGGTACGAAAAATAAATATATATTTCCCATCTCAAACAATATTTTGTATGCGACAACTGGAGAAAGAAAATTTTCAACGCAGAAACAAGATCACACCTTCCGAGGGTGTATGTTGTAATAACGTTGCCAAGGGAGAAACTCAGATCTAGGGTGACAACCGAAAAACTTCAAACGCAACATAAATCATCATTATGGAAAACAAAATAATGTTGGCACCCTGAACTACATGAATAAATACACAGAAAATACACAAATGTAATACGGGCATAACTCCCTTACTCCCTTTCTAAACCTCTTGTATTATCGTGAAGACCTGATGCTCCGTGGTAGGAAGTTGAAGACTTTTTTAGCTGAATAGGCAAAATACCTCTTCACCAAGGTGCTTCTGAAAATAGGCAGTGGAATATTATTCACTCAGTAATACTGCAATCCCCAGAACACTATTCCATAAGTAATATGTTAATCCACCACAGAAATATATGCAGTCCCAGATGTCGCAACTATAACTGCTCAGAAAGTACTCTCAAGGCATAACAGCCAGAGGATAACCTTCTAACTTCTGGATTAATATTTAGGTATAGGTATACGTTTTTTTGCATTAATTGTTTTGACATGAGGCTAGCAAGAAAAGTCAAAGTACATACTTATGCATATACCTACCGACTGACGATCGCAGACAAATAATAGATTTTCCTCGAGATATAAATAACTGTATAACAAAATTACCTGCTATGCCACTATTATACTATACACCTTTAGGTAAACATTGATCCTGGACGATATTTATTTCCACTTTTATTCGTAAAAAAATACAAATTGTCTTACCCTTCTGCTCGTAACACTTTCTGAGCTTTCCGATTCAACCGATCGCTTCTTGCTAGGTGTTTTGAACACTTGTGGCATTTCTTCTGGAACCTGATGTGTGAAATTTAATAAACAAAATAATTTTCTATTCCAAAAATACACATACCACTGGCTGCTTTTCCGGTATAACAGTTTCCTCCGGCATTGGTACAATGGCATCTTCCGGTTGAACAGGAGGTACTGATACCTCCGGTTGTACAGTGGGTAATGGTACCTGTGCTTGAACAGTGGATAATGGTTCCTCTAGTTCAGCAGGCCTATGTACAAGTGCCTCTACAACTATTTTATGCGGCAATGGTTGTCTAAAATAAATAGGGGATTTGACGAGGCTGGGCTAAAATATCCAGACATCAAATGTTTTAAAACGCCTACTAAGGTTATTTGGCAACTTTAGATTTAAAAAAAAAAGCACTTTAGACTGAGCACATCGCACATCGTTTGGAACCTTTCCCATAGCTCAGGAATATATTGTTATATTTGTAAGATCAGAATAAGTGGACATTTTGGATGTCGTCTGGTCTTTGTTTACAATTTAGAATATTTAATGTCATTTACTGCCGCTTGGATTTGAAAATGGTACAGTTCAATAGATAGAAAAAACTTATGCAAAGAAACAATTTTACCTCGCATCTTGTAATAAACCTTCTACTTCTACATCAGCAGTCAAAGGAAATGGATCTCCTGTCCATTGCTAAAAATATAATTATAATACAAACATTAATAAAAACACAAAATCAAAATCATCTGTACCCTTGCTTCTGGTTGGATCATTGTTACGTCTGGTGAGGTTTGGGCAATCCCTGTGTCCTTGATTTGCTTGCTCAATTCATCAACAATCCTAAAGGATTAGGTACATTAAAACATACAAAAGTGTAAATTTGTGCACTACAAAGAATTTGTTATTTGTGTAGATGTTTTAAGTCAACACGACAGTCAGTGTCTGACCAAAAATGGGTTGCTGCGTGGTAGCTATTCCAAAAAAGCAGCTGAAATTTCAGATAATCGCAAGCAAGCAACGCTGACGCGGCGTTACAATACCTATCCAAAACCTCGAGATGCTGACAAGTTTTGAAACTGGAATACCTACTCTAGGCGGGTAGGATTGAAAATTCAGACTCTCTCGCTAAACCTTGACTTTCCCAAAGATTCTTGAAGGAACAAAAAGGAGTATTGAAAGTGGGACACCCGAATGACAGATCTTGTCATTTTTCGCTATTTTGCGTGGCCGTTTTACAGCTTGCAAGAAAACTTGAATGCAATTTTTTGCATGCAAAAAAATTGCATTCAAGATTTCTTGCATGTCGTTTTACACTTTGCAATTCGACTTTTTCCTTCTCTCACCTTAAACATACTTTTTTGTTTTTAATTTTGTGTTGTTGATGTTTGCATTTTCCAAAAATGAAAAAAGTGATTATAAGTCGATATAAAAAGAAGAAAGCAATAGCAGCCACTTTCAGCATTATAATTGCTAAAAATTCCCCAACTTGCGCGAAAACCTTCAAGAAAAATAGCAACAAACCGATTGGATGCAATGCCATTCAAGTTTCAAGAATCTTGCAGAAAACAATCAGCTGACTCACTTCTGCGCATGCCTTCGTTCAAGTTTCTTGCATATTGCAGATAGAATTGCAAGCTGTAAAACAGGCTTTAATCAGTTTTTTTCCTACAATTTTATTCCTAGTTTGAAAAATATTTGACAGCAAAAGTCATATAGTAGTAAAATATGGTAAAATCCATAGAAAAGTGATTTATATTCTTGATGTAGAAGGCTCACTTCTGTTGTAGTCGGCCAGTGACATTTCCGACGGTGCTGCCATAGCGGTGTAGTCATTGAACTAATATTTGGCGGGCCGTTTGAATCTCGGTTTTAAATGACTGGTTTGACATTTCAATTATTTCAAAATAAGGCAGTGCTTCAAAACTTCATAAACTAAAATTTTATTCATTTTATTTTCATATATTTATGTGAGAATCACTCAAAGAATAAAATAGTTTATAATCTATTCATAGATCTGGCCTATCTGACTGGAGCACTTTTCAATCTGCTTTCTGAAAATGTCGATTTTTTTCCAGTTAAAAGGCTGTCATATTTGATCAAGTTATTTATAATTCCCTCGAACATGTATGGAACATCATACAGTGATACGATTTCTAGGTTGTTTATTTCCAACAAAACCAACATTTCTGTTTCTGTGTTGTTTTTGATGTAGATTTCCCTGGTCTGTGGTTGCAATTCGCTTTTGGCTTATTCATTTTTTTGCCGCCTGGTCACACACTGTGGCAACAACTCTTAAACTGGCTGCTTATGATAATGCACTTATCATTTCTTTCACAGTCTTGGAATTCAAAACAATCATCGACAATGCACTCAACAAATTAATTCAGATGACAAGATGACATTTGCATTATGATTTTAAATGGATACCTGCGTTTTTATGACTGGTTTATATATACACGACGATTCTATGTCGGTCATTGTCATTTTCTATTCACTAAACAAAGATAGCTAACTCATAGGTGAAGTCAGAGATTAGAATAAGAACGAGGGGGACGTTAAGAAACGGCGATATGGGCGCACAGCGGTGTAGTCACGAACTAAAACAAAAAGTGGCGGGGATGAATCCAGTGAATGTTCTATTTAAGAATTTATAAATCACTTTTCTATGGTAAAATCTGTTTTTTTTTTTAAAGATAAAAGTCAAAATAATAATATGTTGGCAATGCAATGTAAAATTGTCAATGCTTTCAAATTTTTTATGTAGAAAAGGCTTGTGTTGCCAACAAAGTTACTAAATTTTTGACTTGGGGAATTATCTTTAAAAAAAAACACACTTTTACAAGAGCTAATAGGTTTGTTCGGACTTAGTTCAGAATCAGTTCTGGATTGAACTGCGCATGCGCATTTGTTTATTTATGGTCGATATGAAAAAATGCGCATGCGCAGTTCAAATTAGAACTGATTCTGAACTGAGTCCGAACAAACCTAATATGTTGCTGTCCCAGTTACTTTTGGTGACGATGGTACATATTTGGGAACACAAGTTGAAAATTAGTAGAGCCAATCCACGAGCTGTTCGAGCGAATAGCACTGGGATGTGCCGTGAATTGAAAGCTCTAGCATTTTCATTTATGAATTTCAGTTCATCTTGCCCAACGCGTTGAAAACAGCTGAAAATAGATAAGACCGAAAAATTTGAAGAGTCCTATGTTCAGCAATGATCGAGAATGATTGGTTGCGTTGATGATGAACACCTCAGAAAATATAAGTTTAGCACAAAAATTCTACTAAAATGTTATAAAAAAGATTCTTACGCTGGCATGCGTTCTGAAATTTCGATCAAAGACTCAGGAGTATCCATAATTTTTTTTGTAACTTTCCGCTTCTTTTTAGCGGCCGCCAGAGTTTTGGCGGACTCCTGGGTTGTTTCCTTTTGATCCTTCAACATGACGTCGCGACGATAGCTTTCATCCTGTCTTGATTTTATCATTAGAAAAACATCATCTACAAAAATGTCTAGTTATTGATATAAAAAAAATCAAATTTCATCAATACCTACTTTGTAAATAGACCACCTGTTTGCCCCAAATTAAGAGAGCACCATGAACAAACATTGCAGATAATCTCAAGGAAAATCTTTTTTTGGGATCAGAAGATTGGCTCTGAAGAAACCGTAGAATTGTTTTGCTAAAAGTTGAGAAACATAATGTAAACTCGTTTGGTGGAAATGTATAAAATAATATGTTTACCATAACTTCGCTACATCACATTTATCAAGTTGATCACGTGTAATCGATTTGGTACCCCGAGTTGCTGCTACCCATGCCAAGTTTAGCACCACCCTATTTGGATGATGCAGAAGTCCAAGAGGGTAAAACATTTTCTAGAAACGAATGAGGGCTTTTTTTTAGAAATCCTTGATTAAATAAGTATTAAAAATATATAGGATATATTCTGTATAGGTATTTACAATACGTTTATTAATTCATACAATATTCAAATAGTATTATCGAATGTAATACCACAAGAGGTTTCAGGATTACCGGATAATACTTTTATCTGTTACGAAACGCTTTACGCAGCAACACCATGACTTCAAAGGAGGAGTGCTGTTGCTGGTAACGCGTTGAGTGTTAGGTAAAAGTATTAGGTAATCCTGAAACATCGAGTAGAATTCAAAAGGTTATACAACGAACTAATAAATATTGCCACCAAGCGCGATAATTCCAAAAGGCTTATCACTTGTTAAGCCTCTCGTGTCATATGAGAATAATGTAGAGTGAGTTGAATAACCTAATCAATTATATAAAGCATTCTTACATGTAGGTCAAAAAATACATAAGTATATCTACCTACATAGGTAGGTAGGTATAGAATTTTTAATACCTAATTTGAAGTACCAGTCGTTCTAGTGACTTAACGTATGTCGCTTCTTGAATACACAAATAAAATTAGGTTATGAATTTCCTATTTGTACATGAAATTGGCATATTAGCAATCGACGTTCGTTTTTCTTGGTAATTTCTTGTTTCATCTGATTCGTGATTGATAAATAAGGATGGGGTTATTCTAAATGGGTATTATAAATACTATAGCTATTCTTCTATATTTTTAAGCAGTTATTTATGCGCTATGTAGATTCACTAGAACTTGAGGATGCTATAAATCACCCCAAGAAAATTCCAGGTAATTAACTCCAATCGAGTTAGGTCTGGAAGAGTCACTAGTTTATTGTCTAAAAGTTGAGGAACATAGGTATCGAGGGTTAAAGCGCCAGCCAATTTTGTACACTGAATACATGGAGTACAAAGAAATACAAGAATACATAGGAGCGCAATCAACGGTACTACTGACAGAAAATATGTGTGTCTTTGAAAGAACACAGTAGACATCGAGGTAAACATAATAGATAATTTACTAGACAGCTGTATGTATGGTATGATAAAACTATCACCAATCTTACATTCTTATCTTAGATTTTCATAAACTATCATTTGATACCAACTTTGAATTCAACCGGAGATTAAATTTTTAACCGAAATTTTTGATGATGGATTAAATTCAAAGTTACCGTCAAATGATAGTTTATAAAAATTTAAGACAAAACTGTAAGATCGATTTTCCTCTACAACAGCCTGTCAAAGTTGCAAAAAAGTCAATTTTCAACTGTCAATATTTCCAAAACAATTGAATTTAAGGATTAAAATTTAGTACCAAAATGTATGGAATTAAAAACCCTCCGAAATGATGTATCACTTGACCCCCTTCCCATTCAAGATTCAAGATTTTCTAGGGCGTGGCTCTGTGGGCTAGGGGGTTGAGAGGGGGAGGTAAATTTTGCATAAAAACTCATCCCCCTTCAAATTATAGTTGACGTGTTTCAGGGATTTTTCCGAAAATTCTCGATAATAGGGGTACTAAGTTTTAAAATGAACACCCTGTATATACTTATACCGGGTGTCCCACCGAAAACTGTCATTGGCCTATATCTTGAAAACGGTAATCGATAAAAAAAAACAAAAACCCGTTTGGAGGGTTAGAAGGGGAAACCAAAACAAGGTAGATTTCAGCTCTCCCCGAATCACCCCTGCGGCCGTAGCCACCTTAACCTCAAAATCTTAAATGGCATTATAGGTCATGTGATATCTTGTTTGAAAGGTTTTTTAATTCTCTAAACGAATCTGCAAAAAAAAATTTATCTAGATACAAATTTAAATTGTCACAAAATGGCGCATGCTTCGAGTTAACAACTTTGCCCTCTTGAGGAGGTGAACACTCTCGGGCACAGTGAGGGGAAAGGGGTTCAAAAAAATAAAATCTCGATGATTTCTTCAAAAATATTCATGCTGTGTTATTCAAGTTGCATAAAATAGATTTTAAATCACATTCACCTGTTCCTTCCGATCAAATGAGGTTTTCATCAAAATGATAGTCACATTTAAATCTGGATTTTTTTTTTGGGAACACTGGATGTTTGTTTGACTTGCGCAGATAATCACAACGTAAAATGGTGGTTAGGAACATTTTAGAATTTTGATGGAATACCCTCGAGAATACATAGGAATACACGGGAATACAATGCAAAAGAATAAATAGGAGGGCATACACAAGAATACATTGGATTACATGAGAAAATAAGTATACATGAGATTACATGGGATTACGAGGTCTCAAAAATTAGCACAACGAAAATGGCACACATCAAAAAAACTAAAGTACCAAATTCGAGCCTATTTAGTGCTAATTTAGTATGAAGAAAAAAAAATTATAACTCTATTATTAAAAAAAATTACGTGCAGGTAGCTGGCACATTCTATACCTTTACAACTTCAAATTGAGACTTATCATAATCAAATTGAGAACAAACATTTTCAAATTGAGATTAAACAAAATCAAATTGAGAACAATCAATTTCAAATTGGTACAACATCTATTTCCATGTAATTGAACGTTTTACCAATTTGAAATTGATTGTTCTCAATTTGATTTTGTTTAATCTCAATTTGAAAATGTTTGTTCTCAATTTGATTGTGATAAGTCTCAATTTGAAATTGTAAAGGTATAGTTGGATAAAGTCGCATCTTTGAAAATCTATTTAGTACCTTATATTTATTGCTAATTTAGTACATTCGTGGTACGCCTAAAAAAGTAACAATGATGTATTTATTACGAAATAACCACGGAAAAGTGCTAACTTAACACTTGAATTAGCACTCATACATCGAATCGACCGCTCGAGAACGGAATTCGCATGCGCATATTTAGTGCTAATTTGGTACTTCAAAAACGACGACCCTAAACGAATTAGTATCACATCAGCACAGAACTAACCCAAACTAACCAAAACTAACCCAAACTTACCAAAACTAACCAAAAATAATCCAAACTAACGTCCGAAATTAGCACTAAATGTGTACTTAGTACTCTAGTTTCATCGCGTCATCGGTGATAATGTTCGTTAACTTAAACACTAAGCCAGCACACAAGTGCTAGCTCTGTGCTGATGATGTGATACTAATTCGTTTCGGGTCGTCCTTTTTGAAGTACTAAATTAGCACTAAATATGTGCATGCGAATTCCGTTCTCGCGCGGTCGATTCGATGTATATGTGCCAATTCAAGTCTTAAGTTAGCACTTTTCCGTGGTTATTTCGTAATAAATACATCACTGTTAGTTTTTTAGGCGTGCCATGAATGTACCTACTTAATTAGCACTAAATATGAGGTACTAGATCTTAAGCTGGCACACATGCACGTAGTTTTTTTAAAAATAGAGTTATAATTTATTTTTTTTCGTAGGTACTAAATTAGCACGAAATAGGTCCGAATTTATAGTACTCTAGTTTTTCTGATGTGTGCTATTTTCGTTGTGTTAATTTAAGGAACCAGGGATTACGTAGAGGATTACATGAGGCTTGTACACTGGAATACATTGGCGGTTTACCCCTTGGAATATAATTATACAAGTCATTCAGCTAATTTATGTAGGCCTTCAAAAAGTTCCTCCACTGCATACATACAAGTCTCGATACAAGTACAATCGAAACCCCCATCGGGAAAGTAATATGTACTACGAATATAGAATATAGTGAGAGCAACTGAGAAAAATACCAAATTTACAATAAGCACTAAAAGTTGGGCGGCATGTTATGCCGGTTTTCCACTGAACGGACTGTTGAGTTTGTGTTTTGTCTATATTTCAAAACAAAAACAAAACTCTCGGCGTTTCAAATGTTTGCGGAAAGTTTGAGTTCTATTTCATTCGACACGAGTTTGTGTTTTGTCCGGTTGGTGGAAAACCGGCATAAAGAGAGTGAGTTGGAACATTTTCTATACTTGAGAGACGAATATAATATTCATCAGAATATGAATTTTATTTAGCCCTAATAACATTCATGTTTTTTGTTATTTGCTAGAAATTGCTTCAACAAGTTTGCAATTTTGTCAAGAAACCACCCATGACACTTACTTACATGTATGTATCTACAGGGTGTCACGAAAGGTTGGTCCCTAGAAGTTTATAACAAACCTTTCGTGACACCCTGTAATATACCTAGGGTAGTAACTTAGGTATTACATATTTCATTTTCTTCGATCACAAGCACATGCAATATTTGACAAAGTTCCTTCTGATCCGCTTCGGTGGTGGGTCAAAACTGGTCATGCATAATTTGCTGACCAAGGAACAGAACGTTCTTCCAAACCTAATTATTGATAAAAATTAACGAAGCTTTATCTTTGGGCATAGTTTTTGAAGGGCTTTCTGCTACCATAAAAATACTCTCCAGTGGGCCCCTGGGGACCGTATACTCTTAACAAATTTAGGGAAAAAAAAGTACTAATCACCGCTATATTTATCCACCAAAGTCAACCAAAATTCATATTTGATGATAGCTTTCAAAGGGCTTTTTGCTGCCATGAAAGTTTTTTTCCATTGAGTAACACTTTGCGCACTTGTTAGGAAAATAACTATTTTCGTACATCGTATAAATTAAAATGGAAAAAAATAAACTATGTAATATGTGATCACTAGAAGTATCATAAAAATAAATTGAGAAATATGAAAATTCTCTATTATCTCCTAGAGCGAATTGCAACGGCTCAAGGTATAAGGTACGGTTTACTGACGACTGAACGAACAGAAGACTGCGATTTCGGAGGTTGTGACATCACAAGTTCCTGCATAATGTATCTCCACAAGGAATTTTCTCGGAGACTATTTCGAATATAGGACTGCGATTTTCACGAGAGATCTTAGAGATTTTTTCTTGATTTAAGTAGCCTAACAAATTTGGGCAAAAAAAGTGCTACTTCATATTTGGGGATAGTTTTGAAAAACTTTCTGCAGCCATAATAAAATTCTTATTACGCCCCTGGCCTAGGA